AAATAAATTAATTAATTAAATAAAGGTATTGCGTTCAACTACAACTAAAAAATAAATATTTTAAAAAAGAAATCATTTAATAAAAACATTTTTAATTGCAAAGCAAAGATTTTTCTAAAAAGAATTATCTAGCAGCTGGAGTCAAAGAAGAAGACCTGAAATAGATATGTGCCCTAACACCTGAAAATAAAATGCTGAATCGAGTATGTTTAAAGCCACAGGGTAAAGCTGCTGGCTCTTCAATGAGCAGAAACTTAGTGAAGCTTACATGTGGGAAACATCTATAGGAGAGTGGAAAAGACTGGGGAGACATGTGGGAACCCCAAGCCAATGCAGAACATATGCAAAAATGGCCTGAATTCAATTTACCTTTGTGGGATGAAAACTTCAAGCTAAGATTTTAATATGAAAACTGGTTAGGAATTGATGAAACCTCCAGAGTTCAGGCAGGTTACCCATGATATCACTCAATAGAGATGTGTCCACTTCCTAGGTCATACTTGGTGGAAAAAAAAAAAAAGCCCCAAGAAGATAAACTTATAGACAAGAATGACAAAACATTTAAGCCATCTTTAGATACTAAAAATGAGAGAACTCTCTTCTAAGGAATTAGAGATAATAGAGTGATCTGAATGGCACATCAAAATGTTTAATATGTTTAAAGAACTCAAGATAAAAAACATCACCCATAAAACAAATATGCAAATGTTAAAAAGAGTCAAGAAAAATCCAAGAAATAGATTTTAGTATTACAAATAAAGAGGCTTAGCATGTTTGTAATCCCAGCAACTCGGAGCCTGAGGCAGGAGAATCATAAGTTCAAGGCCAGCCTTGGCAACTTAGACTCTAAGCAACTTAGTAAGACCTTGTCTCAAAAAATAAGAAGGGATGGGGATGTACCTCAGCAGCACAGCACCCCTGAAATCAATGCCCAGTATGGGGGTGGGGGAGAAAGAAAGAAAGAAAGAGGCTCAAGAAATAGACTTAAATAATAGGCTAGCCACAATTGAAAAGAAAAAAAAAATCAGTGAACTGTAAAGAGGAAACATAAGAAACTGTCAGATCACAGGGCAGATAAAAGTATGGGAAAGAAAGAAAGAAGGAAGGAAGGAAGGAAGGAAGGAAGGAAGGAAGGAAGGAAGGAAGGAAGGAAGGGGAAAGAGATGGTCCAATATATATCAAGAAGGAATATAGAAGGAAAAATGGAATGGCAGAAACAATATTCAAAGGGTTTATAAGTGAATTTGCTAGAACTGAAAATAAGTTCTCAGATCAAAAAGGTCACCAAGTGCAAGCAAGCAACCACTACCAAACAAATATGCATATCTCCTTACATACAATATATTTAAAAACTGGAATATTAAATATAGGGAAAAAAATCTGAAAGTTATCAAAGACAAAAAAATACCTAATAAGTAGTAACAGCCAGACTGACATTAGTTTCTTCATTACCAACAATAAATCTTAGAAAACAATAGAAAAAATATCTTAAAGTGCTATGGGAAAAATCACTGTGAATTTATAACCCTATCCTAGTCAAGATTAATGGAATCAAATGTGCCCAAAATTAATATTTACACAATAGCTGGGAAAGGTAATTTTAAGTAATCAGTTTCAAAAATATTTCAACAAAGCTGAGTCTTATTATTTTGTGTACAACTAAGAAAGGAAGGGAAAAAATATCAACCTGTCATAATTCCTTATCACTTAATTTTTTATGCTTTTCAAAATAGTTTTTTATTGTCAGCATAGGTTTTAATCAAACATGCATACATTTTAAAAAAGCATAAGCCAAGTAACTTGGTTAAGTTATCTCTAGACTTCATATTCCTAATCCATTTTTCAAATCCAATTTCTTGGATATCTCCTAAGTCACCAAGAACATGATTGAAGCAGCTTTTCTTTAAAAAAGAAAAAGAAAGTAATTTTTGCTATGTTCTTAAGCTGGTTTTGCAAATGTATAGGTAAGTCACCTTTTGTCTTCATTTCATCATATTGGTAACTAAATCTAATTACCACCTCCTCCATTCTCTTCCCCACAATTACCGGTTTCTTGGAGTTAAAGGTGATTCCACATTGTCTCAGGGAATTTTCACCCCAGCTGTTCATCATACAAGTTTTGAGTGTGGACATTTTCATATCACTTGTGCATGCAAGAATAATTATCATGTCACAGCTACCACCTAGCCAAAAGACACTATCAACTGGCAGACTCATTTCCATTTCAAAAATGTTAAAATATGAAATTTATGTATACCACTTAAAATTAATGAGAAATAATAACTTGAATAGTATTAGTATCATGGTTATAATGAAAAGCCTTCCCAAGAATAAGTCTAAAGTACAATACTGAATGTATTAGTTACAACATACTTATTTCTAAGTCATGTACACATCTTAAAGTTTCTAAAATGTGAGCTCCAAATGATGATTTCAAATGTAGTAACTCAGTCCTGGAAGGTACAGACAGGGAAGCATACTGAGCAGAACAAAAGCACTTGTATTTAATTTTGTATTCCCAAATGTACCACCCTCCTGGGTTGCACATGTTATGTTTTTTATAAACTATAATATTATATTACATGTCTCACATAACATATGCTTCTTTTCATCTCATTTAAATTTTAAACTGTTCATATTCTTGTTTGTTTTTTAAATCTATTTTGCTTAACCAGTTTCTGACAAAGGTGTTTTTAAAAGACTCACATTGTTATTGTGAATGATCAATTTCTAATTATAATTCTATTATTCTGCTTTGTATATTTCAAGAATATGTTGTTGGGAGCATATATTGAAGTTCATGGTTGATAGTCTCTTGGTAGATTTTCTTCTATACACCAAAACAAAGTGCCTATTTATTATTAAATTGCCTTAAAGTATATTTTGTCTAACATTAATATTGTCTCATCATTTTTATTTTGGTTGGTATTTGCCTAGTGTATCCTCTTCCAATCAACTTTTCTGTGTCATTTTAAGTGTAGTTTTTGTAAATAGCATACAGAACTGAAATTATTCAAACCAATATGACAAGTTTAACTTATTTGGTTTTAATGTGAATAATAGGGTTTTTTTTTCCATCTTACATTGTGTTTTATATTTGCCATACTCTATGCATTTTTATCTTTTTTGCATATCTGGATTGATGGAATTTTCTTTATTCCCTTAATTTTCACCAGGTTTACAAGTTATATATTTTAATTATATTAATTTGTGTGAGTTCTCTTGAATTATTTAAGGATACAGGCATCAATTCATGTTCTTCTAACAAAGCCTGAAGTCAATTAGTATTCTCTATCCTTTTTAACAAACAGGATTTTAGTACACTTTAGCATTCCTCTGCATATCACTATCTTATTTAAAATTAGAAAACAGGTCTATACTCAAAATTTGTGGCTATCAGTAGAAAAGCTGTCTTTACCTTGTTGAGTTCTACCTGTCAACCTCTAGTCCTCTTCTAGTAGCCTCTACTTATCTAAACAGCCTAACTATAGAATCTTAAAATTAACAAAACTATAGCTTTGCATGTTAAGCAAATCAAAACTACACTAAGATTTTATCCCACCTTCTCACTCTAGTCAGTTCTAATCATCAAGAACACAAATAACTGCTGGCAAGGATATGGGGATAAATGTACACATATACATTGTTGGTGGGACTGCAAATTAGTACAACCACTTTGGAAAGGAATATGGAGATTCCTCAAAAGACTAGGAATAGAACCACCATATGACCCAGCTATCCCACTTCTTGTATTTATCCAAAAGAACTTAAATCAGCACACTATAGTGATACATGCATAGCAATATGTACAGTAGCACAATCCACAATAGCCAAGTTATGGAACCAACCTGGGTGCCCACCAATAGACAAATAGATAAAGAAAATGTATTTGTGTGTGCATATATGTGTGTGTGTGTGTGTATGTATATGTGTGTGTGTGTGTATGATGTATATTATATGATGTATATCATATCCACACAGAGAGTTTTACTCAGCTATAAAGAAGAATAAAAGCATGACATTTGCTGGTAAATAAATGGAACAGAAGAACATAATGCTAAGTGAAATAAACCAGACTCAGAAAGTCAAGGATTGAATGTTTTCTCCCATATGCAGAAGCTAAAGAGAAAAAGAGAAATAAAAAGGGGGATCTCACAAGAAAAGAAGGGAAAACAGTAGAGTGGAAGCATGGGGACCAAGGGAGAAGAAAGAGGGAAGGGAAAGGGGAAAAATGAGGAATGAAGTTGACCAAATTATATTAGGTGCAAGTATGACTATACTACAATGCATTCCAGTTTTGTATACAACTATAATATATCAATTAAAAAATAAACACATAACAGGCTGGGGTTACGGCTCAGTGGTAGAGTGCTCGCCTAGCACATGTGAGACGCTGGGTTCAATCCTCAGCCCCACATAAAAATAAATAAATAAAATAAAGGTATTGTGTCCAACTACAACTAAAAAATATTTTTTTAAAAATAAATAAATAAACACATAAATGGAAGACCAATAGAGTAGAGAAAGGGGATCAGTGAAGGGAGAAGGGCAGAGAAGGGGGTAGTATTTGAGATTGAAGTGGATAAAACTACATTAAATGCAATAATGGATATGTCAAAATGAACCTCACTATTAGATATATTTATAATGCACTAAAAATAAATTTAAAAAAATAGTATAGTCATACAATGGAATACTATATAGCAATAAAAATAGCTACTTGCATTTAAATCTCAAAACCAATATTGACCATAAAATGTTGCAGAAGAGTAAGTACAGTATGCCATTTATGTAAACCTTGGAGACACAAAAATATTACAAATCATTTATGGACCCATCTTAGTGAACTTATAAACACACACTGGAAAATATATACTAACTACATAAATACAATTATCACTGCAATGGGAAGGAAATGAGACTGGGAAGTGATATTAAGTAGTTGCTATAATGTTTTAGTTCTTAAAAAAAACAAACAAGGAACTGCAGGTGTAGCTCACTGGTAGAATCCATGCTTAGTATAAGTGAGGCCTTGGGTTCAATCTCCAGCACCTAAAAAAAAAAAAAAAATCATCATCTAAGAAAAATATAGCAAATTTTTAATAGTTGTTAAATCTTTGGTGGGTGTTAAAATGGTCTCTGTGTTTTTTCTTTGAAGTATTTCATAATTTTAAAAAAGAGGAACTACTAGCCCAGCATGCCCAGCACAGTGGTGGTACAAGCCTCTAATTCCAGCACTAGGGGGACTGAGGGTGGGAGGATTCCAAGTTCAAGGCCAACCTCAGCAACTTATTGAGGCTTTAGTGAGACCCTGACTCAAAATAAAAACTAAAAAGAGCTGGGGTTGTAGCTCAGTGGCAAAGCATCCCTGGGTTCAATCCCCAGTATCCACACCCCTCCCCGTATGGCCCCCCCACACAAAAAGGACTACTTAATGTTTGAAAATGACAGAAAGTAAGACAATATGTGTGCTTTGAAGAGGGAGATGTGCTAATATAGATCAATTATAACTTTTATTCTTCTAATCAATTTAATTGGCTGCTTTATAAAACATTTTATATTAAAAATTAATACACATTCATATAACCTTTGGAAAAGATAGAAAGAAATTTAATCAGTGTGAGTGTTATTATGGCACTTGAATCTGCCTGGACCTGCTATGATTCATGCTTTTTTAAAAGTAAATCATGTTGAAAATGTCTATACTTATTAATGGAAAAAATACATTCAGCCTAACTCATATGTATAAAGAACACCACAGTTGATCACTATTGCTCTAGCATACAGAAACTGGAAGGCCAAATTCAAACATAAGTGGGGCAAAAATTCCCAGTCCAGATCCAGATCCCTGGCCTACCTATTAGGCTTCCTCTTAACCCAGTGAATGGAAGACAAAAGTAATATAAAGGATTTTAAGTAATCAACACTTTGCAGCGTTATTTTTATAACATGAAATAATTGGAAATAAATCATCTGTTGGTTTAGTTAGGCTGACTCACTCTGAAATATTAGGGTAATATTAATAATTCAAATTATAAAGACTATCAAACAGGAAAAAAATCCAGAACAGTATTAAATGAGCAAAAACAACAAAAAAACTATATAAACAAGAAGCACAGTTATGTAAAAAATATTGGTATATATGGATAAAAAAGGGAGGGGGACAGAACTACGGTATTATCATAGTAGAGAAATGAGTGCAATTTTTTATCCTTAATTTCTTTCAATGCTGGTTTAATAAATCATTTCACCAGTGTTTTAAAAGACTTACTCTATATAATACAAAAGGATTACCTAAACTATATCTCTTTCTCATAGCTATAAAAAGAAATTTTTAGCTGTACTTTTTATCTTTCAATTTTTTAAGGTTTGTTACATTAAAAACAAACTAGCAGTTGGGTGCCAGCAGCCCCTGAGGCTGAGGCAGGAGGATCACGAGTTCAAAGCCAGCCTCAGCAAAAGCAAGGTGCTGAGCAACTCAGTGAGACCCTGTCTCTAAATAAAATACAAAACAAGGTCAGGGAAGTGGCTCAATACCTGGTACCCAAACAAACAAACAAACAAACTAGTAGCCAAATTCAGTTACCTCTGTTCTGAGTTGGAAAGTCAGAGAAACTTTCCCCACTTAATTTCTGCCTCTAGATCTGATTTGCTATCAAGGCAGAACAAGTCAAGACTTAATCAAGTGAGCTCTATTGGCTGAGATGCAATGACAGTGTGACCTGAGGCTTCACACTGAACATCTCTAATCATTGTGTTATTCCCTAAGAGCATACAAAAGTTCAAAAACTAAATGTCTAAGGTCAATGTCTTGCAAACTGTTAATGACAATTCATTAAAATATAATGGAATGTGCCAGAGTACACTGCATGTAATAAGTACTGTTTTTGCAAAACAGTCGTCATTTCTATATAGTGTATATGTGTCCTGAAGCCACAACATAAAATTTATTTCTCACTGTGAATCATGGCCAAAAGGTATATGAAACACTGGTTGGGCACTTTAGACTTTAACGTGTATTGAAGCAGACTTAAACACACACACACACACACACACACACACACACGCACACACAGAAGAAAAAGGATAGCATAACACATAAGTTCTACAAATATCTAGATAATTAACAAAATACAAGACACATAAACTATGATCACCCGCAGTAATAAAGGAATTTTTGTATAGGTAATTTGGCCAAAAAGTCAATAACTTTACTTTAGTGAATAACATTCAAACCCCCTTTTTTGTTTGTTTGTTTGTTTGCTCACCATAGACAACAATAAGCAGAACGGACAAATTACTTAAACTTCACCCTCATCTCTGCCAGATGGGGTGGAAGTTAAGAAAAGCATGGTATCAGAGAGAAGGGAAACAGTTTCAGTGCATTCTAATCAAATTCCAATCCAAAATTCAACAGTTATCAAAGGCAACTAATCATGAAATTCATCCTGTCTCTCCTGGTTTGTAACATTCAAACAATGTGTTTTGAGCCCAATTATTAATCACACACAGTTCAGGAAACTCCAAATAATTATTGCCCCATCCCTCCCTCCCCTTTGTTTAAAATCAAACCGCGCACTGCAGGGAAACTAGGAATACAACTCTACCCCTAAGTAAAGACACACAAATTCCCAAGCAGTGACAAGAGGGAGGCACGCTTGCGTTTCTCTGCTACAAGGCGGGAAAAGCAGGGCAGCCTGTCTGGCGATTTTTTCAGGATCTGGGGCCACGCGCGGCTATTACTTGTGCGCCACAGGTGCCTCACGGCAGCCGAGCCAGAACTCCCCTGGGGCTTCAGGCCACGAAGGCTTGCCCAAGCAGAGAAAAAGTGCGACCTCACTTTACACAGACGTGCGCGTTGAGCCGCGACAGAAGAATGACACGTGTTTCTGTCAGAGGGAGGGGGCTGGGGGAACAAGGTTCAGAGCCCAGCAAATCCTTCTCAACTCCTGGCCCACCGACCCTACCCTTCTACTCCCGCTGCTGCTGACGTGCGTGTGAACCGAGTCCTCAGAACTGGAATTCACAGGGCTTCACAAAAGCTTCACGGTGAGAGAAGCCTACCCACGAAAGTCCTGCAAACTTACCGTAGTAGCAGTCGCTGCTTTCTGTCCCGTCCGTAAAGTAAACGGGTTGGCCTCCGAGGCTGTGTAGCCACCAGAGGCAGACCCAGACCTACGCGAGCCGGAAACGAACGACTCTCTAGCTGAAGAGTCGCTAACCGCTACTGAGGCTTAACTGGGGTCGACCTACTTAACTAGAAAGGGCGGACATTGACCCGACCTGGACGCACCCGGATTGGCTGATTCTGGTATTGTTCTAAAGGAGACTCCTCTATGATTGGCCAGGGAGGTCAAGCGGGAAGGCCCGAGGTGGTGGTGTGCGGAAGGGGGAGGGGGGAGCGGGGGGAAAGGGTAACCAAGTTGTTACCCAGGCAACTGAGAGACGCAGAGCTCTCCGCTATTTTCGGAGCCTAGCCAGCGACCTGAAAACTGACCCAGGTGAGGAAATCCGAACCTCAAGAGGGGGAAAAACAGGGTCCTCAGATGCTGTGACTATCAGGGAGAACTGTAGATACTTGAGACTCTAAGAAATAACTCAAAAAGCCACAAGTTGCACAAAGTAGAGGTGAACCGTTTCCTCAACCCCTCAGTCGTAGGCACTAGAAGCAGGGTGCTTCTTTAACAAAACTCAGTCTCTCGGAATGTGAGAGACTTGGAAGTAACATACAAGGTATGGGTACTGGTCGACTGACTATCAGAAAGCCAAAATAAACACCTGAAGACTTTCCAACTAGCTACCTCAGCTTTCACACACTTAGGTTCTCCCTTCCCCTCAGGTTGGCTAAATGGAGGGTGTAAATCGTGTTTCTTATAGGTAGATCCATGTGCTCCAAGTGGAGCAGCTGCAGTCTGGGTTGGGATGTGTGGGGAGAGGGGGCGTGGATAACACTGTTAAGACCGAAAAAACGTGAACCTTGCCACTTGCTGCGTGAACAATGACCTGTGTGCGAGAATTTTGGTCCTGTGGCCTCAGAGTTCCAACTGAACTCGATCAAACCGGATGAGGAGAAGGGAGCGGTTAGATTCTCACTTAGCGAGACAGAGTGTGGTGTGCCAAAACTACTTGTTCCTACAAAACCCTCTATTCGCCAAGGGCTGATTTGAGGGAGTAAGTATTCTATGTCGTTTGACTATTCCTGTCAAAAAGAGGAGAATTAGATTAAAAAAAAAAAAAAGAAGAACCTGAGTCAGAGGAGGGAACTGAGTTTGGCCTAGAGACAGCGGGATTGTTTCTCCTAAGAGCCTACTTTTGTGATAGTGGTTCAGAACACAAACGACAAAAAACGAAGCCAGGACTGTTGAGGAGAAAATTTCAAAGCTCTAAAAAGAAAACTTACCCTCTTTTTTCCTTAATATTTATTTCTTTTACTTACACGCCTTTATATTTTACTTATTTACTTTGAAGTTGTCCTGAGAGTTGAAACCTGGGGCCTAACAAGAAGTGGTAGGTGAGCACTTTTCCACTGAGCCACAACCCCAGACCAAAAATTTGCTATCTTAATCTCCATTTAGACCTAAATGGAGCCGGGCACCTGGTGAGTGCCTTTAATCCCAGCAGCTCTGGAGGCTGAGGCAGGAAGGTTGTGAGTTCAAAGCCAGTCTCAGGGATTTAGCAGGGCCCTAAGCAAGACCCTGTCTGTAAATAAAATATTTAAAAGACCTGGGGTTGGGGGTCAGTGGTTAACCGCTTCTGGGTTCAATTCCCAGTACCCCCCCCAAAAAGAGATACAAGAATATAAGACTTGAGAGAAACAAGGAGAAAAATGAATGCCAAGTGTATTCTCTGAAATGTACTACACATCTGTTGGTAAGTCTGAGGGAATTCTATAGAAACTAAGGATTTTCATCTCCACATAAAAACACACTTTTAAGCGGGGCTGGAGGCACACATCTGTAATCCCAGAGGCTGAGGAGGATGATGTGGGAGGATCTGAGTTGAGAACCAACCATCTCAATTTACAAGGTCCAAAGCAATTTAGTGAGTCCCTGTCTCAAAATAAAACATAAAAAGGTCTGGGGATGTGGCTCACTGGTTAAATGCCCCAGGGGTTCAATCACCTGTACAAAAAAAAAAAAGGATGGGGTTGGGGCTCAGTGGTACAGTGCTTGACTAGCATCTGTGAGGCACTGGGTTCTATCCTCAGTACCACATAAAAATAAATAAAATAAAGGTATTCTGTCCATCTACAACTAAAATTTAAAAAAAAAACACACCTCCCATTTCAAAGCTGGGCATGGTGGCACTCAGGAGGTTGAATTGGGAAGGATTGTTTAACCAATTATGTTCCTGCATCCAATATATAGGACATTTAAAAATATAATTGATGACACCAAGCGGAGTAGCACATGCCTATAAACTAAGCAACTCCAGAAGCTGAGGCAGGAAGATGGAAAGTTCAAGGTCAGCCTAAACAACATAGTGAGACCCTCAGAAAAATAAAAATTAAAAAGGGCTGAGGTTGTATCTCAGTGGTAGACCACTCCTGAGTTCAATCCCCAGTGCTGAAGAAACATTGACCAAAAAAACAATTGGAATGGTATAGTTTCCTTATGGCTAAAATAAAGAACAGAGAAAATGTTAAAAGAGGTTAATTGTTTGTGTTTATAAAAGATTCCAGGCACTTTCAAAAATCAATCTTCCATTTTGGATAGAGAGAAGTGATGGGAGGGGAGGGGAGGGGAGGAGGAGGGGGTTAGGAAGGGCAGCAGAATAAAATAGACATTATGATTGCTGTATGTATATAGGTGACTGTATGACCAATGTGATTCTGCAATCTGTACAATCAGAAAAATGAGAAATTATACCTCAATGATTCAAATGTATGAATTGCCAAGATCATTATAATGTCATGTGTAGCTAATAAAAAAAAGAAATGAAAAGAGCAAAAAAAAAATCAATCTTCCATTAAATGTGCGACAAAAGCTTTGTTAAGTTTCCACAGCTACTTATGAGTTGGTTTATTTGACAGTAGGAAAAGTAGAAACCTAAAAGGAAACTGTTATTGGGTTTTGTAAAAGACTCAAAATGAATGTTTTTGTGAGTTGGACCCACAGCTTAGTGCATACTAAACTACACCTCCAGCCTCAAATGAACTATTTTAATTTGAAGGGAATTACTGATGAATATAGTTTTCAAAACATGTGAAAAGAAGAATGAAAACAGGATTTGGGGGTATAGCTTAGTGATAGAGTTCTTGTCTAGCAGGTGCCACATCCTAGGTTTTGTCCTCAGCACAATGAAAAAAAAAAAAAAAAAGCAATTAACCAGCAAGCCAGTATGTTATAATTTAATTCACACAGAGGCAGAGATGATGTTTACTTTTGTGTTCCCAGAAGAATTTGAATGCATAAATTGCTAAATAAGTCATTATATAAATAAAGTTGCAGAAGAAATGCCCAATTTATTTAGAGAATAAATGGATCTTGAATACTTTGATGTCATTCAGTTATAATTATAATTCAGTTAGAATTTGGTTGTTATTTTTTAACCTATTAAGTAAATTCCAAAAGGATGCTATTTGGTGATTTTTTATTATCCTGATTTTATTTACCATATGTACTTGAATTAATAAAATATCACTTTAAAATAATCTATAATTTAGCATCTTAATTTAATTTAGACATTTTTCTAATTAGAATCAATGAGTATTTTTTTTTTGGTGCCAGGGATTAAACCCAGGGGCACTTAAACACTGAGCCACATCCCCAGGCCTTTTAATTTAATTTTACTTTATTTTTATCTTATTTTATTGTATTTTGAGACAGGATCTCACTAAGTTGTTCAGAGCCTCTCTAAAGTGCTGAGTTTGGCTTTGAATTGCAATGCTCCTACCTCTGCCACTAGAGTAGCTAGCATTATACACCCTACATCTCTTTTTCTTTTTTGATATTAGGGATTGAACCCGAGGTCATTTTACCACTCAGCTACATCCACAGTACATTTGAATTTTTTATTTTGAAACAGGGTTTCACTGAATTGCCAAGGCTGGCCCTGAATTTGTAATCCACCTGCCTCAGTCTCCTGAGTCACTGAGATTATAGGCATGTACCAGAAAGTCATCCTTATTGTTACTATGGACAGACACAAACAAAACAGCATGATCTCAACCTCACAACTGAACTGACTTGATCCAAAAGTTACTGATATCACTTCGATACCATGGGTCTGAAGCCATCCTGATTCAGCTTTGTTAATACCTAACTGGCTCTAGTGTTCTGTTAATGAGCTGGTTCTGCAGTATCTGTTTTTAAGCCAGTTGTGGCTACTACCAAGATAGATCTCCCAACTACTTTTATCTGTGAGGACCCTAAAAGCTCAGATTGATGTGGGAAAAACAAAGGCTTTGCCTGGACAATAATTTCCTTGGCATTGGCTTAGCAAAATAAGAGAAAGAAAAACACAGGGCCTAAAATTCCTTCCTTCCTTCCTTCCTTCTTTTCTTTCTTTGGTTGGACCCAGGGATGTTTCACCACTGAACTACATCACCGGTCCTATTTATTTATTTGTGGTGCTGAGAATCAAACCCAAGGCTTCATGCATGCTAAGCAAGTCCCCAACCCTTATTTTTTTATTTTGATACAGGGTCTCATTAAAGTTGCCCAGGGTCTCACTAAGGTTGCTGAGACGGCTGACTTCAAACTTATGATCCTGCTGCCTCAACCTCCTGAGTTGCTAGGATTAGAGGCATGTACCACCACATCCAGCAGAAAATTTACTTTTTAAATAACAAAATATCAAATAAAATATTTAGTTCTGTATTTTGGTTTTATTGAAACTCTTACTTAAAATTTTCTCTAATTTAAAGTTTTTCTTGGCCTATTTAAGTGACACTGCCACAAACACAGGCAGTGTGGCTCCAGAGTCTTTTTCTATCACTACACTATACTATACAAGTAGAAGAATATACTCCAAAGTACAAAGGCAGGAAATTATAGGGTATATTTAATAACCTGTTCAGTTTTTGACAGAATAGAGAACAAATATAAGAGAATAATAGGAGGGAAGGGTTTAGAATATATGGAGCTATATCGTAAAGGGTCATGATTGCGAGACTCAAGGTGAACTTAAATGTATTTCAAACTTACAAATAATTCATCAAAAGGCATATTCTCTTGTTTTTAAAAATATCATCTATTTGTGTAAAATGAACTTTAATTCATTAAGTCCTAAGTTTTCAATTCTCAGAACATCACAAATATTCAAATATTATTTAAAAGTTAAATTAAGTGGCATATTTGTTGCTCAATTTAAGTTTTTATTGGTGTTCCACATCTGGGACAATGGAAAAAAATGGATTAATAAATGTTTTTATTAAAGTTTAAAATATAATTTTGGTTTGTTAAACTTATG